TATTGCTCCAAACTGCTATGACCGACCGTGGAGAATAGAGCAGATGTGAATTTGAAGGAAAGCCATACATCTACAATATCACATTTAGAGTAGCAATGTCGATTAGGAAAACTTGTACTTTTTATATGAATTGTGTTCTCCCTATTTCGTTCAAGTAGGTTGAATTTATCCCACAATGCCATCGCTTTTATCACCTCAAACGAAATAGGTTGACTATTCTTCTCATATAAGTGACCTACTGATTGTTTATAAAGTCTACTTATAAACGGAAAAAATGTATATTTCGTTTCCAAGTGGGGTTTAGAGACTACCAGTTAATCAGTTATATGATATGTATTCACCCTATCTCGCTTAGGGTGATGAAGGATTGCTAGTTGAATTTTCCCACAAAAAAAGCAAGGCTATGTGAAATTCAATGGAAACGTGGGAAAATTCTTCTTCTACCAGTCCGTCCTCACCTTAAACGAAATTGGGTGAATACATCTCATATTACCTGGCAAATGTTGTGTTTGCTGGATCAAGTTTGTCGGACCGAAATGTCTTGAAAAATTAATCGGAATGATGTGGCTGCGTTATGAAAGTGACTTTGCATAGTCGATGTGTTTGTTGCGTCTGGTGTGACTTTTATGGCTAGTGTGGCTGCCATCTTTAGCCGGTTGAACTAGATTGAATTGTAACTCTTTTGTTTCTGTTGCATCTGTTGTGTCTGTTTTGGCTGATGTTCTATTGTGTCAGGTTGGATTGGTGTGTAGGTTTTGCTTGTTGTGCCTGGAGTGTCTGTATTGTCCGATTTTGCAAATGTGGCTTGTGTCTCGTTTGTGTCCGCTATGCATGTTGTTTATGCTGTGTCCGTTTTTTCTGCTGCGTCAATTGTGTCTGTCGTCTCTATTGTTTCTGTTTTGTCTGCTTTATAATTTATCACAGTTGTGACTGGTGTCCATGTTGTGTCTGATGTTGCAAATGTGGCCTATGCCTTATTTGTGACTGTTGTGTCTGTTTGTTGTGACTGTGACGGTGTGTTTGTTTTGGCAAGTCTAGTTGGTGAGCTATTTATGTCAGTTTGGATTAGTTTGTCTGCTGTGCTATTTGTGCATTGTGTCTGATGTGTTGATTGTGACGGGTGTCTGTTGTATTTGCTGCTTTTGTGTGTGTTAGGTGTGTCTGTTTTGGTAACTGGTGGCTAGTGTGTAAATTGTCACGAGTGTGTCCGGTGTGCTGACTTCGCCGGTCATCTTCGAATGAGTCCTCTTCGTCTTGATGACATTTCTGATGACCTTTTGGTTCCGGCAGATCGTGTCGAAGGCCGGACATGCCCTCTGTTCGAGCCGAACTCTGGCTCCCCTCTGCAGCCAACCGACCTTTCCTGCCGAAGCAGCCAAGTTGCCCACTTTGTGGAGTCACTCGAGACTGCCAGATTCTTTCGGAGCCCGAAGCAGAGGCTCCCTCCAAATCCCAGTTTCCCCTCAGCAGCCCTCCTGGCAACGGCAGCCACCCTCGGTCATAGGCTATCCGCTTCGCCCAACATGTCGACCCAGTTGCTCGTGAGTCGCACCAACTCCGACTTAGGTCACATGCCCGTTGGCTGAGACTGGTTG